GATAGGTAGAACCGACGTCCTAGGTAGACAATGCTCAGGGAAGACAGGAGACAGGGGAGATACAGCTAGGAGAGAGTGTGATAGATACACACAGAGGAGGGCCAGGTAGATACACACAGGAGAGGGTGTGGTAGATAAGACACAGGAGGGGGAGCGATAGATACACCCAGAGGACGTAGGAGGTCCAAGGTTTCTACCCCACTTATGGTTTTACGCCGCTTTTAGCAATAATTCAAGCAATACCACGGTGAGCGACACCAGAAATGAACATCACACATTGTGGGGAATCAAACCCGGGTCTTCAGCGTGACAACCGAACGCTGTAACCAGCAGGCTACCCCACTTTTCTTCCCAAACTAGTCTCCAGGTCTCCCGGCAGATAACTAGGGTAGCCTAGTGGTGAAAGCGTTCGCACGTCGCGCCGGAGACCCGGTTACAAGTCCACACTTGGTATATATATATATGTATTAAATATGGTGTCCACCTCCATGGTATTGCTTGAATATTGCTAAAAGTGTAGAAATGGAGTAAAACTAAACTCACTCACTCACTCACTCACGGCAGATTAGATACTCGTGTAGAGCATACGTGGGTAGATTCTTCTTGAGTGCCAGCGGTATGAAGCATTTTGGGAGCTTGGCATTACTCTTTTAGGGGAACGTCAGTATCAATAACCATTGGTGCCGCTTCACCGACAATAACGTCTCGATTCATTGAGAATACGTGTGGTGGGAGACAGGGGCCACATTGCAAGGTGAGAGTTTGTAACCTCCGTGTCGTGTGAGGTCAAAGCGTGTATTCACACTAATGATGAATGGTTCTGGGGAAAATAATTAATTGATCAGTGAAGAGGAATTTGACACTTGGTCAAGTGGTGTGGTCAACCCTGAACGTGGCACACGTCGACAGCACGAGAGGTCAGAACCTCAATATGGTGACAAATTATCCATTGTGCGAGATATTAGTCACTTTGATAATTCCGACTGTTTAAAGTTTAGCTGTTTCAAAAAAGGTTTTAAGAACGTATATAATCAAATAACAGATTGTATGTTAAAATTGAAGCTGTAGATACGATGTAGTTTAACATGTTTGAATGAATTTCAGTTCTTTGTTTGTTTGTTTGTTTGTTTATTTGTTTAAATCTGCACACAGTAATTTTCCCGCTATGTGAGGGCGGCCTGTAATCATCGAGTCTGAACCAAACAATCCAGTGATCGATATTGTGATCAATGATCCACGCTATCTGGGTAAGATGATATCCAGGACCTGACCCCATCAATCCTGTCGCCTCTAACAGTTTGTTTGTCTGTTTGTTTGTTTGTTTGTTGTTTAACGCCGCATTCAGCAGTATTCCAGTCTGTAAATAATCAATAAAACATAGATAGGTCGCCTCTTACAACTAGCCTTGGTTCCAGGGGACCGATTCTAACCCGGAATCCCTATGAGTTTTCAGTCATATTACGTCGAATATTCTTCATCCAGAAAGGAAGCATAAAATGATACAGATCACGATTGTTAACCTCCAACAAACGAAGGAGCGAGGCGAATCGGATTATGGGACGGGAATGGGTTGCAACTCTTATAACAAGCGAAAGTTAACAGAAAGTCCATTTGTTCCCGAAAACAAAATGCAAGCACAAACATAACGATATTTTCGGAATACCCGGGGTTTTACTCAGTTCTCAGTTGGAAGCTGAGGCGTTAAGGAAGGAAGGAAGGAGGGGGGGTTTGTATACGTATGCGACGTTTTTCGGGGATTTCTTTCCTTGTGTATTTATGATTTTTGTTGCTTTCATATTTTTTCTATGTTAGTGTTGTTATGTTTTCCGCTGTTTGTTTTCGTGTGTAGTTTGTTTTTTTTGTTGGTTGGGTGATTTTAGGCTTTTTGTATTAATGTTTGTTTCTAATTTATTTCAATTTAGCATCAAGTTGGCGAAATCAATCAATTTTGAACACTTGTGAAAGATGTTACTTGTACCACCCACATAACCTCCACCTCATGCGTGGAACAGTGCATGGTTTTATGTGTACTTCAGTTACTAATATTCATCGCACTAACTAACAGTAGAAATGGTGCCGTAAAAACGTGTAGAATTTTGCACCCAAATCAATATTGATAAGGTAATCTAAATCATTTTTTTCTGAGCGATCTCCAGTGTTTTCCACTTATATCCATAAGCTGTTTTTGAAGTCATCTATTGTTCGACTGCACATCATAAATTAAAACACTGCATGGAGTTATCACGTACCCCAAAACCGTGTAAGCCAGGTTCTCGTTAACCGGAGTCCGCTTTTCGGTGGGCTTACTCTTAGGTGAGTCTGCATATTAGCAAATAACATTACACCGTGCCTGGAAACTTATTTTCCGTCCTGTTTAACGAAGATAGAGACAACTGATGCCATCATGTTTAGTCAATATGTAGTAGTAGTAGTAGTAGTAGTAGTAGTAGTAGTAGTAGTAGTAGTAGTAGTAGTAGTAGTAGTAGTAGTAGTAACAGCAACAGCAACAACAGCAGCAGTGGGCAGCAGTAGTAGTAGTTGTTGTTGTAGTGTTATTGTTTTGGTAGTGGTGGTGGTAGTAGTAGTACAGACAACTGGCGCTGTCATATTTAGTAGTAGTAGTTGTAGTAGTAGCTGTAGTAGTAGTAGTAGTAGTAGTAGTAGTAGTAGTAGTAGAAATAGTAGTAGTTGTTGTTGTTGTAGTAGCAGTAGCAGTAGTAGTAGTTGTAGTAGTAGTAGTAGTAATAGTAGTAGTAGTAGTAGTAGAAATAGTAGTAGTTGTTGTTGTTGTAGTAGTAGTAGTAGTAGTAGTAGTAGTAGTAGTAGTAGTAGTAGTAGTAGCTGCAGCAACATAATGTTTATTACTGCTGATGGTAGTTGTTTGTACATGTTAAACGTAGAAACGTCATTCAAAACTTCATTCACAAGAAAAATAAATCTATCATCATCATTAAAATTACAATAAAAAGGAGACCGTACAAATGCTACATTAAAAGATTAAAAGCTAGAACGTAACATAAGTTACATTTAGAAAACACCTTCATTTCCATTTCAATGTGAATCATGTTTTGAGATAAAATACATTATTTACAAAGCCTCTAAAAAATGTGAGGTTTCAGTTACCCCAGTCTAAGTAAACTATAAACTGATAGCAGTGTAACGAATAATACTGAGCCTAAGTTTACTTAGACTGCAGATACCCTTTACAGATTTTTCAACCATTATTATTTTGTAGCAGCATTATTTATTTCAGCTTTTATTATATTTAAGTATCCTCAATTTATTTTTAATTTAAAAATTATATTGAATAAACACACACAGCAGCAGTAAATAAATTCTGCATGTCAGTTCATCTTTACATACACCAGCCTATGGTACGTATTCTATAGTGTTGTTACATCTGTACATGTAAATGCATGTAAATATAGCACTCTTTATCGCGAGAGAAAAAAATAAATAGGCTGAGTGCATTTTAACGTTATCCTTATCGCCTTTAAATAGTATATCATGAGGTAATAAAATGTTTTTGGGACTTACGTACCCTCTCAGGAGGACAATAATTTTACAATACTTCAACCCCCTTTGAGGGTACAGCCACTAACAATCTAAGTTATTAATCAAGTCTACCAATAATTAAAATACAAATATGTACACAGCATATTAGTCAAAATTCATTCATGAAGTCAATTTCTTTTAAAAAACCAATAATTAAATGAGAATTAACAGTAGTAAAAAGATCCTTAACTGTTTTCACATTGAAGTATTTATCCCTTATGATGGAGAATTCAACACAATCAAGCAGGACATGCTTGACTGTGGTTCTCTCATCACAAGGGATACAAAACGGGGGGATCCTCACCTTTCAATAGGTACGCATGCGTGTATCTAGTGTGGCCAATACGACAACGTCGCATGATGACCTCTTCAAATCTGGACTGACAACCCAAGTAGGTATAACCAATATAGGGTTTTATTTCATGTAATTTATTGATACCCACCTGGGTGTCCCACTTTCTTCTGCATCAGATCACTGATGTAAGTTCTAATGCCAGCTTTATAATCAGAATACGGAATAAGAAGTGGTGTCACAGATTTGTTGAGTGCTGCCTTGGCAGCAAGATCAGCCATTGTGTTCCCAGAAATGCCAACGTGGCTGGGTAACCAACAAAAGACGATGTCGCATTGGCCAGTAGCAAGATCATTATATAATTCGATTATTTCAATTAAAAGTGGATGTTTGGAAGAGAGATTTTTAATCGCCTGAAGGCAAGAAAGAGAGTCAGAAAATATTATATATTGTTTATGTTTGGGATGTCGTTGAATATATTTAAGAGCCGTTAAGATGGCGTTTGCTTCTGCTGTAAATATAGAGCTGTTATCAGGTATTCTAGAAGATATTGTTCTGGATCCAATGACAGTGGCACATGCCACTGCGCCACAATCCTTGGACCCATCTGTAAATAAAGATTTGTATGTATTATAGTTATTCTTTAATTGATTATATTCTTGTTTATACTGTAATTCGTTAGTTTTGGATTTTTTAAACTTTGTCAGTGTTAGGTCAACTTGTGGCCTCACTAATTGCCAAGGAGGAGAAGAAAGAAGACGGGAAGGAGATATATTCTCCAACTCAATGCCAGCAGCAGAAATATATTGTTGGATTCTTATCCCAAGAGGTGGAACAAGTGAAGGTTTGAAAAAAATAAATAGGCTGTGGGATTTTATTATCCTTTATCGCCTTGTATATCATGAGGTAATAAAAATGAATCAATAATTTATTATATATTCATGATAGATAAATTTCTCTTTCTATTGTTCGTTTCGTTACCAAGCACAGACATAAATCGATGACGAGCTCGCCAGTTGATGTCGCTGCGGTCGACAGAGATATTGACCGGAGATTGGGCCCTGGCTCAACCTTGCGACAACGTACCTCAAGAGTAAGCAAGCGAATTAAGATTTTATTAGTGAATGGAAGACACCTGCTGCTGAAAACAGTCGATAGATTTAAGTCTTGTATGCTTGTTTCATTACAGAAAGTGGAGTTCTCCCGTCACCACGGTAAGTTTACCTTTCACATCATACACTAGTCACATATGTACGCTATGTTATTAATACGTAAAGTCCATTATCCAACGAAATGTCTATGCTTTGTTTAAATCCACATTGAACTCACAAATGTAATGATAGCATTAACATAAGGGGTATGATTTTGATCAAATGCTGCGTGTTTTTATGGGGTGGGGGTTTTAAACAAAGAACATGAAATCCTAAATTATCAGCAATAGAGATATTTAAACTCAGTCTTATACACTATGGAACAGACTGAAAATCAAGGAATGAATATTTTTCGGGATATTTTTATGGAACTGTGTTGTTTTCAATCTGAAAAAATATTCATGAGCCCTAACTTTTGCTCCGAATCATAAGATATAGGTGAGTGATGCAGGATATTTAGTAAGTAAGTTGGTAATCATTTCTCTAATGTGACAGATAACACACATGCAGTGTTTTATTTTCGGTATTCAAAACAAATTAAGGTATTCACTAGTTATTTCATCAATAATTTCTTTAAAGTGTGCTTCGTAGGCGATGTCGCCTCTTCTTTACAAGGCGGTGGCTCTGTGTGTCGTCATCGTCTCCTTATCAGGACACAGAATCAAACGAGGTAAGTACTGTTGGGTTTTCCATACTCGTTCCATTTTCCATGCAATTGTCGATGATCTGATATTGGGTTATAACGGACAGTACTGTTCTCAGTAAATATAGAAAGGAGAGCGAGGACGCTATTGGCCCAAATACTTAATTTTGCTTAATCTTAGAATTGAGTAAAACGTTAAAAAATTGTTATGCACGTTATCAAATGTGTTCGAATGAATGTGGACTAGACACTTACTGCATAGGTGCACAAGTTGGTCTGGACAACTGATAACAGTTGGAATTAATATAAAACTGTTAAAAACAAACTATTGAACACAAGTTCAAAAACTTTGGGGTTTTTTAGTTTTAAATATCGAGGATTACATAAATGAAAATATAAGGAACGAAGGTGTATTTTTTTAAATGACTCTGTTTTTACTGAACGCACGCAGGAAATCGTGTATGCGTGCGTGCGTGCGCGTGCGTGTGTGTGTGCGCGCGCGCGTGCGTGCGTGTGTGTGTGTGTGTGTGTGTGTGAACAGATTTATAGATTTAGCCTCCAATATGTATTCATGGATATACACTCTTAACCAAAAGTTCCAATATTTCACCCACATCAAGTCATGTTTTATCATTACTTTAAACAATATTACCATCCGCAAAACGAAACACCTTTCAGTCTTCTAACGCGAATATTTTTATCATTAGAAAGAAAACTTGTTCCCTCGCGTCGAGAAAACAATCCGAAGAAATATTAAAATTACTGAAATAGCTGGGACTAAACCAAACTGCCCATGTATGCGCCTGGTCATATGTTTGTCCAATGTTCTGGTTTGTGCAGATGTCAGTGACGGCTGTGAGGGAAGCGATGGCCATCACGAGGACAAGGAGGTGTTCAAGGTGGGCTGTATCGACTACAGGTGTGTCCACGGCCACGTGGCTCTAGAGAGGGGAGGTAAATGTACTAGTACTACTACTACTACTACTACTACTACTACTACTACTACTACTACTACTACTACTACTACTACTACTACTACTACTACTACTACTACTACTACTACTACTACTACTACTACTACTACTACTACTACTACAACTACTACTACTACTGCTGCTGCTGCTGCTGCTACTGCTGCTGCTATTACTGCTACTACTACTACTACGTGAAGATCTGGGTTAGAATTAATCTTCAGTAACCCATGCTTGTCGTAAGAGGCGACTAACGGGATCGGGTGGTCAGGCTCGCTGACTGGGTTGACACATGCCATCGGTTCCAAATTGCGTTGTCGATGTTCATGCTATTGATCACTGGATTGTCTGGTCCAGACTCGATTATTTACAGACCGCCGCCATAAAGCTGAAATATTGCTGAGTGTGACGTAAAACTAAACTCACTCACTCACTACGTGAAGATCTGGGTTAGAATTGATCTTCAGTAACCCATGCTTGTCGTAAGAGGCGACTAACGGGATCGAGTGGTCAGGCTCGCTGATTTGGTTGACACATGTCATCGTATCCCAGTTGCGTAGATCGATGCTCATGCTATTGATCACTGGATTGTCTGGTCCAGACTCGATTATTTACAAACCGCTACCATACAGCTGGAATATTGCTGAGTGCGGCGTAACAGTACACTCACTCACTACTACTTCAGCTGTTGCTACTTATATTTCTACCACCACTGCAGCTATCCCCAGCAGTGTTTCAGTAACGCCACAGTGATATTTTGTTTCATTTTCAAGATATAAATCAAGTAACATTAAGTTGAATTTGAAGCAGTTTGTCATCACTAATTCCAATTATCGGTATATTTGAAGCATTACCTATATCACGAAATAGATTATCGATCATACAGTGAACAACGACGAGAGTTTTGCGGATATACAACTTCTTCAATATAATATGAGCGACGTTTCGGTGTAGCTGCTAACACCGTTATCAAGCAAATAACAACCCTCATATTATATTAAAGAAGGTATATATCCATAGAACTCTCCTCGTTGTTCATCACACCAACTTCTAAATGCCACTCAAACAAGTGATCATAAAGTGATCACATATTGGATATACGTGTATGACTAATTCAGGAAGAAATTCTTCAAGAAAGTTATTAATTTACTTTACAAAATGTTTTTTTGGTATATTAAACTAAAACAAGAAATGACAAAACAGTGAAAAAGGCAACTCGTAGTCAGCAGCATGATTTTGGCACTTCAACTGTGAATTGCAGGATGTCCAAACCCGATGGCATCTTCTGACTGTCTGTCTATGGGGGACACCTATCAACAAGATTGCTCCATCTTCACCTGCGTCATGGAGAACAACCACCACTTCATTCGAATCACCCATCCAAGTAAGTTTGCAGGGGCCATTGGCACCTGTGTTGGAATAGGTAAGCAATAACTGTTGTCCTTTAATAACAGAGGCACGGGTGGCTAAATGGTGGTTGGTTTTATAGTTTTAGGGCGACGTTGGCCAATAAGAGGCCTATTTGCGCCCAACACATTGACTTGATTTAATAAACAATCATAGGTAATTTCATCGCCAAAAGGATAAATGGTGTGATACTGGTTGAGTTGCGTCCCTTTGTCATGTCGGGATTCGCTGAGCGTGTATTAAAATCCCAGTTAGCGTCAAATTATGACAGCTATACGAGATCTGTTTAACGTCTGCATTTTGTTCTGTTTATGTCGGGTAAAAACCTAAGTTAACACTGATTAATATTGGTTGACAAAGGTTGAATCTTGTCAACCGCAGCCGTCACAAATGTGGTGACCTCTGTTTAATCAGGTCACAGAAATGGAAATGAAAAATCAACGCACGGGGTGATTCCTCCTGAACGTGGTTCGTTATTCTTGTCAATATCATACCCTTGTTTCTGGGTTTCACCTGAGGTGTAAAAGTCTAAAAAACTGTGGCAATTATGGTTGTGCTCCCTCATTAAGCTGACACGCTGTGGTGTATACTTATCAACAGAAGTTAAGGAACACCGGTATATATACATTGCCATGACGGATTATAGTCATGTGAAACATTCAGATGTTCTTTTGAGTAGTATACCTGAAATTCCATTCGAATACTCATCTTTCGTAACATATGTTATATTTGGGATTGCACTTTCTTAGTAAAGTACAGATTCTAGTACTTTTTGGGGTTGAGTCCCATCCGGGATTCGAACCCACACCCACACAAAGTCAGACGCCTAGACCGCTCAGCCACCACGGCTTCCACTGAGCGGTCTAGGCGTCTGACTTTGTGTGCTGGCGATTAGGTGCCTGTCTCTGAGGGTGTGGGTTCGAATCCCGGATGGGGACTCAACCCAAAAGTAATAGAATCTGTACTTTACTAAGAAAGTGCAATCCCAAATATAACATATGTTACATTTGACCACTTTCTAAAATGGCATTGTGTATTTCATACTCATCTCTCGCCCTTTCGATACCGTCTCCGTTTTGAAGGGAAAGGGAAGGGAAAGTTCCAGTTGTTTGTTCGTTGTTAACGCCGCACTGAGCAATACTCAAGCTTCGGCGATCCACCAGTAACCGAGTCTGAATGAAGCAGCTAGTGGTTGATGTTATGAACACAACACATGCAGTCGGGCTACAAATAAGAAATAGCACGCATTGATTTTTCAGACAAACCTTTACTATTGATATTTTACTTGTCAATACATTAATTAAAAAAAGATGCTTTTTATTTTCAAAAAATAGTTTTATAAGCTGCTAGATTTATTGATACGAGTGATATAAGTGTATGTTGTATATAATGAAGTCCTAGAAGGGGCGTCGTCGCGTTGTCGCCCTCACAAAAACAAGGAACAAGTGGCACATTTAACCAAAGTGCGACCACGCGACATTTTGGCCCCAAAATGGTGGTTGCTTGATGGTGGTGTATTAATTCCGAATATATGGTTTAGTTTTGGACCTTATGTTTATAGTGACAGTACTAACGTTTAAATAACGTTTGTGATGTACAGACAGATCATAGTCATTGTAAACTGACGCACAAAAGAAAGTACACACCTGATGCTTTTGTAAAATGTTTTCCTAAAAACAGCGTAATATTTAGAAAAGTGTTTTGATTGTGACTCACAATTCACAAACATTGTGTACGTGTTGTAATATCACCATAGATATCGTACCCAATGGAACATTGCTAGCTGACTGACTGACTGACTGAGTTTTGTTTTACGCCGCTTTTAGCAATATTCCAGCAACATCACGGCGGGGGACACCAGAAATGGGCTTCACACATTGTGCCCATGTGGGGATTCGAACCCGGGTCTTCGGCGTGACGAGCCAACGCTTTAACCTTTAGGCTACCCCACCGCCCCGGAACATTGCTAGCAAAATATTTACTTTTTTAAATAGTCTCAAAACAGCAGGTGTGTACTTTCTTTTGTACATCAGTATAGTATACTCTATTTTTCCAGGCTGTTTATCATAAGCAGTTTCACGTTTGTACAAGTCTCAAAAATACTTCAGCCTGTATATTCCAGCAACAATCACCCTCAAGAAAGTAATTTAAACTAAATACAATTTAGAAATGCATTGTTTGTGTGAGATATTTACTGTATCATAGCATGTTGGTACAATTGTCTCATCAAGGCTTGTGTATACTGTGGTGTTCATCATCAAAATCTGTATTAGGTATGAAGGCCACAGGCGCATATACATATTACAATACATATTCCAAACAGGTATGAAGGCGTGAACGAAAACAAGGAAACAACTTCTCAAAATTCATAGCACTTACCTGCCTACCTGCATAGATTACCTTACACCTCCAGTGAAAACATTCAGTTATATATGTATAGCTGTACTGGAATCTGTTTAATTTTAATACTTATTTTCTATTTCTCTAACTTTTCTCTCATTTCGCATGCATAATAGATAAAACGAACTAGATTGTCAATGTCTTCAGTTTTGTTTTGTTAAAGGATGTTGCTAAACGATATGATATCAACTTGCAAATTCTTAAGGAAAAATATACCCCGAAGTCTTTAAGCTGGACATTTCAACAAAGGGATATTCATCTTCTAAATCTACTTTACATACAGGACAATTTCTTGGAGATGCAGCAATATTTTTCTACCTTCCTGCGTTATTCTGTAAACGTAGGACACCAGCTCTGAATTTGATGAAAACGAGTTGGAGTCAATCAGTACCTGGCAGTAAAGTCAAGCTGGTGTGCAGCAATCAATGCACTTAACTGTGCAACACAGGGGAGGACACAGGGGCTGATGAAGCGTTCATCTGCATTGTGTGGTGACCAGGCCGGAGACGTGTACATACAACACTGCGACGTCATCGACCGTGAAATGTCATACAATACCGCCCCTTTGAATTTGTTCTGCATAAATAGGTTTCATGTTTATATCGTGTTTGTGTTGAGAAACACGAACAGGTCAATCTTGATATATCGAAGTAGTACATTTTATTAGATTTCCTTCACTTTTAATGTCAAGAATGATTGTCATTCGGGCGCTGAAGGGTAAAATCAGATTTCATAGTACTGAAGGGTAAGAACGAGTATATTAGATCTTCATTATCTCGATTTTCAATCACTCGGTTTGTCTTGAAGTACGGATATCCCGACATATCATTACTGAACGTGCAGGGATACCTCGTATTGAAATTTTCTCCCTGAATTTAACTGCCCAGTCTTTTTGAAACTGAAAAAAACTTCAGTTTGTATGCCGACTCACTCACACACTCACTCACTATTAATACAGAATTTACATTTACGCGATAATTATTTCTGAAATATTGTTTTTCATTTTGTGTCAACTTCTTTACGTCATCAATCTGTTCCCAGGGTGCAACGTCAGTAACGAATGTGTGGATGTGGACACCACCACGTACTGCAACGAGTGCATCCTCGGTGCCAATGGACACCCTGTTCTCAAGAAAGGTAAGTTTATCTATATCTCCATGGATACCATCCTCGAATGTATTATAGGTGAATCATCATTCTGTTATAACAAATATACAGCAAAGAAATTCATTTGTTTTGCTAGATCAACCAAAACAAAAATGATACATTGTATTTGTTTTCGCTACGTGAAAAGAAAGTTTCAGATACAGTATACTACGGTTGTATCGAACTCAAAGGGCCATTTTTTTATTCGTTATAACCGTAGTTCGTAACACGCATTTCGACTGAAATATATATCAAGTAGCTGGGACCAAAACAGTTCGTTATAAGCGTGTTTCGATAAACACATAGTTTAAAGTAGTTGTAAAATACGTACGACACTGATGTCCCTACACACTAAAACCTCCTTAATCCGGACTCCGTTATCCTGGATACCTTGCTTACGGGACGACTACTGCTGGGGATGACTACAAACATTAAAAAACATTCATGAGCATGCATGAGTGGGTGGACACTGACGCTTTACAAATATCCACTATTATTATTATTATTATTGTTATTATTATTATTATTATTATTATTCATTCGGTGCTTATCGGTATATGTGACTGAATGTGAGTATTTGAATGGCTAACCAATAAATCTTGTGGGGTTTATAAACAGATACCACGCCCACTAGCGACTTACTGTTTGTACTACAGTATAGAGTTGAATGATATCATTAATGTCGTGTTGAGTGCGTTTGTTTACGCAGTGGAATTACTAAATTTATTTGTGAACGTGAAACGTGCAAAAAACGTAAATAAACAACCTTCTTGCCACTCCGACCACCAAACTAAATATGATACTTTTGCCACTCCGACCACCAAACTAAATATGATACTTTTTCTAAACTACATGAACTAAATAAGCTATCTACTAAGATACACAACTATAATTCTAAATTGTTTAGTATCTATACTATGCCCGAATATGGCAAACTATTTGTGTAATCTAACGACCAGAGTCTCACTGATCACAATTGTCGACCATTCACCTAGCCGTCAGAAACCTATCTGCTCGACTCTGCACGTGCAGAAAGTGACTGCACGAGGCGTTACGGTTGCGTTTTGATGCAACGTTCATGGTTCTTGTAAAGATGTGTTTTGGCTATCAGATAACTAAAGACCAAAGAAACTAAATTTCTCTCCAGAACATATCCCCCTTTGCTGATAAGACCCTGGTCTTTCAGAGAGACATCTGTTTACATCTAATTACACTAAATGTTGTGTAGACTTGTACTGAACTTGAAATGTACACGATGTTCGTCCTATTCTGGATACCACTCCAGTGGACAAAGCTTGGTAATAGGTCTAGTCAACACCGATTTCCCCACTTTGAACATCCACTACTCTGACATGTCCATCTTTGCTTGGATATATCTTGGTGATTCTACCTAGCGGCCAGCTTCCTCGTGGAGTTTCAGGACTAACAACAATGACAACGTCATTTATTTTCAAGTCCTTACTTGTAGCTTGCCATTTCTTGCGGACATTGAGAGTGGGTAACCACTCTTTCATCCACCTTTCCATATATGCCTCAGTAACTCCTGCACACGTCTCCAACGTTTACGAGGATTGAAGTCTTGTAGGTCTTCCTCTGGTGCAAAGGGCCACCACACTGACCATGTAGAAAATGGTTTGGTGTAAGAGGCACAACATCACTGGGATGTGCGCTCTGATATGTCAGAGGTCGAGAGTTTAACAAAGCCTCTGCCCCTACAAAGGCGGTCATCAGTTCCTCGTCTGATATATCACCAGAACTAAGAACAGCATAGATTGCTCTTTTGGCTGATTTAATCAAAGATTCGAAAGTTCCACCAAATTGTGGAGCATGTGGTGGATTAAACTTCCACACGACCTTTCTGCTTGCTAGAGAAGCTTTTAGATTGTCTCCATCAAGTTCCGATATTAACTGTCTAAGTTCCTTGACGGCTCCTACAAAGTTAGTGCCGTTATCAGAGATGATTTCATTCGGCATTCCTCTTCTGTGTGCCATACGAGATAAAGCGTTCAGGAAAGAGTCGGTGTCTAAACCAAAAGCTATCTCCAGGTGTACCGCTCGAGTTGATAGACACGTGAATAAACACAGATACCGTTTCTGTCGACTTTTCCCCCGACCTTGCTTTGTTAGAAAGGGACCAGCAAAGTCTACACCTGTCTGAGCAAAGGGTCTCATGGAACATCTAACCCTGACACTTGGTAAATCTGCCATTATCTGTGTAGCAGGCTTGGTTTTCTGACGTCTACACCAAGCACACTCATGTTCCCAACTACGAATCTCTTCACGAGCTGCTATAATCCAAAACCTACTTGACAATGCAGCCAATGTGTAATTGGTTCCCATATGACAACAGACTTCATGGAATTGTTTCACGATCAACTTTGTTACCCAGTGAGCTCTAGGAAGTATGACTGGAAAACGCGATTCATAGGAAAGATCCTCAGCATATCTGAGTCTACCACCTGATCTGATCAGTCCAGAATCGTCTAAAAATGGATGTAAACCCAATAATTTGCTAGATTTAGGAAGCTGTTTTCCTTTGGTCAAAGCTGCATATTCCTCAGTAAATGCTTCCTTTTGAGTGTTCAAAAGAACTAGTGTCTCAGCATCTTGAATTTCATCGGCATCAAGCTCACCAGATTTCCTAGTTTCTCCAGAAGAAACATTGTGAACGAACCGAAGTATCCAGGCAGTAACTCTGCACAATCTCCTCCAATCTGAATATCTTGAAGGGTCCAAGTGCCAGTTCATCACTGTAGCAGCTTTACATGTTACCATTGTAATATCTGACTGACATCCCGTGCGTCTTTCTAAGTTTTCATCAACTTTCAAGTTCTTTTGATTTGGCCACTCTTTCTCATCTTGTTTTATAAACTCTGGACCATGAAGCCATTCCTTTCTATTTAAGGTTTCAACATGTGCTCCTCTTGTGAGAATATCAGCAGCATTCTGCTTGGTTGGTACATATTTCCACTGACTTGGGTGAGTATTGTCCTGTATGAACCCAACTCTGTTTGCAACAAAAGGTTTAAAGTTTCTGCTTTGATTTTAATCCAACATAAGACATTTTCACTGTCTGACCAAAACTTTACTGATTTTGGAGAAACAGCAAGAGCCTCTGTGACAATTAGTGTCAGTCGTACACCAAGAACAGCTGCAAGCAGTTCCAACCTAGGAATACTCATTGCTTTTAGCGGAGCAACTCTGCTTTTTGATGCTACTAGAGTGCTAGACCTGCTTTGACTGGGGAGGTTACTTACACAGTAGATGACTGCGCCAAATGCTTCTTGAGAAGCGTCTACGAATACATGCAACTGTTGGTCAATTGCAGCTTGATTTAAACCTATGTTTCTCGGAAATCTGAGAGAAGAAATCAGCTGCACTTCATTGTACCACTTCCATGTTTTTGCTTCAAGATAAGGATTCATTTTCTCATCCCATCCGAGCCCAGCAAGCCACATTTGCTGCAGTAAGATTTTTGCTCTAACAACGAATGGTGCTAGTAATCCTAACGGATCAAAAACCTTGGCAATTTCTCTGAGAAAGGATCTCTTTGTCACTGTGAGCAATTTGTTTTTTGAACTACAACCAAAGTTAAATTCGTCAGCTTCAGCACACCAGACAAGTCCTAAGGTTTTGACTGATGGCAATTCATCTGTCAATATGCTAATTTCCTGCAGCCTGTCTTCTGCTGGAATTTCATTCAGAACATTCTTTGAATTTGAAAGCCATTTTCTGGCATGCATACCTGCTGTTCCCCAAAGGTTCATCAGCTGGTTGTAAAGTTCTACTGCATCAATGTCAGTTTGAACTGAATCTATGCTATCGTCCATGTAAGTTGATTTAACAACTGTCGTTGACGCCATAGTCAAGTCTGTTTCATGTAATTTGGCATGCTCCTGTGTGATGTACTGAGCCAGAAAAGGTGAGCAGTTTATCCCAAACACTACTCGAGAGAATTCATAAACAACGGGAGGTTTGACCTGATCATTTGATCGCCAGAGAAACCTGAAGTATGGACGGTCACACTCCGCAATCTCTATTTGCAAATACATCTCCGCGACGTCACAGATGAGTGCAACTGGATACCTTCTAAATCTCAAAAGTATCTCAAACAGATCATTTTGCATCTTGGGACCCTGGTGTATAACATCATTAAGGGAAATGCCACTACATTTTGCAGATGCGTCAAATACCAACCTGACTTTTGTTGTTGACCTGTCCATATTCACCACTGGAAAATGAGGTAAGTACCATTTTGATTTACTGATTTCTTCCTCTGGAACTTTTCTGATGTAATTCTTTTCAAGGTACTTAGCTATGACATCTTCATATGCTGCTAAGATGGTATC